AAAAAAAAAAAAAAACAAAACAAAAAAGAAAAGGGAAGCCACCAACTGAAAGATAGTATTTTAAAGCACTCATCTGATAAGAGGCTTGTATTTAAAATAAGCAAACAGCAATCTAATTAACAATGGGGAAAAGATATGCAGATGTCCAATAAACTCATAAAAGAATACTCAACATCACTTATCAAAGAAATGCAAATTAAAACCAACATTCCACAACATATCCACTAGAGTAGTAGAAGTTAAAACAGACTGACATACATAGCATTAATCATACTACACTGTAATTATTGGGCATGTTTCTCTACTCCAATAAAATGTGAGCTCACGGTTAAAAAAAAAAAAAGTGGGATTCTACGTTTCCCTAGGGATTCTACTCCTCGGTATTTACCCAAGAGCAATGAAAATATATACCCACATGAGAACTTGTACATAGGCTTGGTGTCTGTAGCACAATGGTTTCAGCACCAGCCACATACACCTAGGCTGGTGGGTTGGAACCCAGCCTGGGCCAGCTAAAAACAATGACAACTGCAACAAAAAACAGCTGGGCGTTGCATGGGGCACCTGTAGTCCCAGTTACTTGGGAGGCTGAAACAAGAATATTGCTTAAGCCCAAGAGTTTGAGGTTGCTGTGAGCTGTGCCACCACAGCACTCTACTGAGGGTGACATAGTGAGACTCTGTCTCAAAAAGAAAAAAAACAAACTTGTATGTAACATTTATAGCCAAAAACTCAGTACACTTCAGATGCCCAACAAGTGATGAATAGATTAACAAATTTTAATATATCCATATTAATCAATAATACAAACAAATAAACTAGCAATAAACAAAACAACATGGATGAATCTCAAAACATGCTAAAGTCAACACTAAAGAGTAGGTACTATATGATTTCATTTATTTGAAAAGACAAATAAATGTCTTAAAAATGACTTGTCTTGATAAGACAAAACTGTAGCAACAGAAACTAGATCAATTGTTGCCTAGAGCTGCAGGCAGGAGACGAGACAAGTTGCAGAGGAGGAAGAGACTTTTTAGGGTGAGAGACCTGGTCTACATCTTGATGATGATGGTAGTTTCATTATAATTAACAATTACCAAAATTAGTTAAAAATGGGTAAATTTTATTGTATGTAAAACTTTAAAGTCAAACAAGAACAAAAAAAAATCAGAAAACAAAAGAAACTACACTCTACTACACTGATAAAAGAAAACTAAAACCATGAGATATTATTTTTTTCCTCACAGAATGGCAAAAATTATACGAGTGTAAAAAGGTGCTAATCAGTGTATACCCAGAGAGGAATTTGGCATTGTATACCTAAAACCTTGAAAAATGAGTGGATATTTTGACCCACCAATTCTATTTCTGAGAATTTTCACTACAGAAATAATCACACAAATTAGATAAGACAATGTGTAAGAAGGGTATTGGAAAGCTTTTTATAACTGGGAGGGGGCGTGTGTACGCCCAACAACAGGTGAGTAGTTAAATAATGAAATTATCTATCCAATTAAAATGATGTGGCCAATAATATACGTGTGTCCTTCCTGATGCACGAAGATGTACTCAATGTCAGTTTCCTTCCCCTTCCCTACATTTCATGCTGCTAGCTTTCACAAAAATGTTCATCTATTCATGAGATATAGAGTATAAATAAGTGACCAATAACTATCATGAGTCAGATTTCTATTATTAGAAAAACTAAAATTCATCATTCCTACCCTCTTTTACTTTGGACATATAAAGTATATACTTTCTGCCTAATACGTATGGCGATTAATGAAAAGAAAATCACCTTTGGACTCCAGTATTATCAAAAAAGATCTGACATGAGCAATTATATCATTCCAAGAAAGCTCTGGCCCACAGATTAAATTAGTTATTTTAGTAATTTACTTAATAGTTTGCCTTTTGGTAGATAAAAGAATAATATAAGGATCTACTCTACACTTTTTTAGTTTTTCATTATCTGGGCCTCAGTTCCCTTATCCATAAATAGAACAGTGCTAGAGCCAGTCATTTCTTTTTTTTTTTTTTTAACTTGATGAAGGAGTTTTAATAAAACTTTAAAAATATTTTTTTCTCATCTTTTTTTAAAATTAAATCATAACTGTGTACATTAATACTATCATGGGGTACAGTGTGCTGTTTCTATATACAACTTGAAATACTTTCATCCAACTGGTTAACATAGCCTTCATGTCATTTTCTTAGTTATTGTGTTAAGACATTTATATTCTACATTTAGAAAGATTCACATGTACCCTTACAGGATGAACCATGGGCGTTATCCCACCAATCACCCTCTCTCCACTCATTCTCCCCCCTCCTCTCCCCTCTCCTCTCTCTCCCCTACCCCAAATTGAGCCAGATATTTCTAATCCTCAGGAAGATTAACCTATTAATCATCAGTCAACACCTTCAATAATTATAAAACCAACAAATGCAATGTGCCAAGAAACAAAGCTTTGTCAATCAGAAAGGGTATAACTTTCTGGTTATTTTTGTAAACTAGAATAACTTTCTAGTTATTTTTCTAGTTAACTTTGTAAATATACACTTAAAAAAAAAGGAATAGGATCCTTACTCCATCTTGGTGAATTTAAACCTAAGGAATACTCACTATAACATAAAATGGAAATTCAATCTGTCATGACTAACACAATTGAAAAGGGACACAGCCTTAATAGTTTCTTAGCTGCTAAAATTTAAAGTCAATCATGCTACTTAAAGACACTGAAAATATAAGATTATCTATCATGATAACCATATCAGGATCAGGTAAGATGCCTCATATTCCCACAACTACTGTAATTTCAAACAAAAAAAAAGCAATATAATTTTAGTTATTTAAGGTAAGTAATTCATTGTGCCTACTTTAAAATAATGTTTTCCAATCCAATTTGGTTCAGACATTCAAATCCACTAAGTATAATTCATTTATAAAAGTGAAATACAACATGGTTCACAAGTCCCATGTCTAACCAATTTTCCCTGCAACTCAGCATTACTTAATTCAAAGAAGAGAGTAAATAACCTATGCAGAATGTATACCACGTATATAAGTTTAGCTGTAGAAAAAAGGAGATTTGAGTGTTACTTGTTTAATGTCAAGTCAAAGAAACCAACTTAAATACACATATGCAAGAAATGAAATTTATTTATTAATTTTTAAATAAAGGAAACAATTACATTTAGAACCATGGTCAATTATAAGTAACAGTATAATTTTTAAATTTCTATAATCAAAAAGTAAATATTTTACTACAGTTAGATAGAATGAACAATATTTGATAGCATAGCAAAGTGACTATAATCAACAATAAGTTGATTTATATATTTTTTTATAATTTTATATATTTATATTTAAGTATATTTTAAAAAACTAAGACTGGAAGTGGAATGTTGCTAATGCAATAAATAAACATGTGAGGTGATGGATACCCCAATTACCCTGATTTGATTAATGCACATAGTATGCCTTTATCAAAACATCGCACATACCCTAAAGATGTACAACCATTATGTCTCATAGTAATTAAAAATAAAAACGTAAATATTTTACTATCTGAACCTTTTCCTGTGCAGTTGCCTTTATAGGTTATACAATAAAAATAACTTGTAATAGGGACCCTGGACTTTGTTGTCTCCTTTCTAAGTTATATCTCAAACCAAACTGAAATGCAAGCAATTGGCTCAAACAAAGTTCCTTTAGATACAAGAAAACTAAACCTTACTGTTATTAAGTCAGGCTGGCGATGGTGGTGATGGGATACGGTACCGCAACGTAAATGACACAGCCAGACAACAAGGGAAACAAGGGAAGGCTCCATCCTATCACTGCTTAGACCTCCCAGTGTCTCACTTATGTGTCCTGCAAGGCAACTGCTGAAAGAAGAATGTACCTCTTATTCCTAAAAGAAAGGAAAGGATTCTTTGTCTGCCAATAGTAAGAGTTTTCTTCTTCTTCTTCTTTTTTTTAATTATATCAGCTGTGTACATTAATGCACTCATGGGGTACAATGTGCTGGTTTTATATACCATTTGAAATATTTTCATCAAACTGGTTAACATAGCCTTCACTACATTTTCTTAGTTACTGTGTTAAAACA